GAGAGGGGGGCGGATGTATAACCAGAGGGGGGAGGGGGGGGGGGACGGAAACGGGGGGGGGGGCCCAACACGGGGGGCGGGTTCCCATTTATTTCGGGAGGGGGGTGGGGGGGCTCCCGCCAGGCGCCGGGGTGGAAGCCGACAGTCACCTGCGGCGGAGGCGGGCGAGGCTGCGGGACAGTGCTTTGTCCGCTGCGTGGCACTGGGAGGCCGGGAGGGGCTGGTCCCCCATCCCTCCTCTCACACCTTGCCCTTGTAGGCGCTGGCGCGGGGCGCCGCGGAGGCGGAGGCAGAGGCGGACACGCCGCTGAACAGGGCTACAAACTGCTCAAGCAGGTTGGGCGAGGCCGCCGGCGCGGCCGCAGCCTCAGGCGGCGGCGCGCTGATCGCCAGCCGGTCGCCGCGGTCGTACCAGCTGGTGACTGGCTTCGAGGGCGGCGCCCAGCCCGGCGGCGGCTCCCACTGCTCGCGGGCGGGCGTGGGCGGCATCCGGCCGGCGCCGCGGTGGAAGCCGACAGTCACCTGAAGGGAGGGCAACGTCCGCACGGGCTGGTGCTGCGGTGGTGGAGGCGGCATGCACAGGATGGGCGTGCTGCGGCAACACAGGGCTGGCACCTTGCCACGGTACGCCGTCGTCGTCGACGGCTTCGGCGTGGGAGGAGCCACCTCGGCCACTTCCGCGGCGGCGGGTTTGGGCACGGCGGCGGCCGGCTTCTTCTTTTGCTGGTTGTTTATCAGAATGCCGCCAATCGCGGCGACGGCGGTGCCGGCAGTCGCGAGGAGGGCGGGGCTCTGGCTCAGGGCGTCGGCAGCGGCGACCTCGATGCAGCGCGGCACGGTGGCGCGCGATGGTGCGGCGCGAGGCGGGGCTGCCACCAGCAGGCCGAACGCGGCAGCTGCGACGAGTGCCAGCATCCTGGGGAAATGAAGCGTATCCCGCGGAGCTGCTTGTGAATGGACCGCCCCTGCTCGTTCTCAGGGAGGGGCGTAGTCCCGTTCACACCCTCACTTAGGCATGAGCGCCCGAAACTTAAACGGCGGGCGCTTGACGAACCCGAGGGGGGGGGCGGGGGCAGCAACGGCTGCGGCCCCGAGAGTCGAATCGACAACTCATAGTTCGAACTGGCGACTCATAATGAAACTTGCTGAAATCGCCCTGTGGGGGCGGCAGCGGCGACCGCCCCAGGGGCGGCAGCGGTGACCGCCCCGGGGAATATGTTTAGCGACTCCCACCCCCAAGGAAGTTCTGATAGACATGTCCAGGACTCTGTGGCTGAAGTAGCGTGTGCGTCGAAGCCACAAGAGGGCTGGCTACGTCGGAGAATTGGGGGGGTGGGGGGTTCGCGTATTTTGTTTTCCTTGAACGGTTGATGAGACTGTGAAACGATCGCCGCAAGGGGCGTGAACGCACAAGTGCGTAATGACCGCAAGTGGTCGTGAACACCCCAAGGGGTGTGAAAGTAAATACTCCACTTATTCACAGATACCATACCAGCAAAGTACCCGAATCCAACTCCACGTGCCCAAGCGCACACCGGCCGGAGCGCCACCGGGGGGTGCTGCCCTCCCGTTCATGAGCCCAACAACACGAACGCTATCCATCCTCACCGGCCCCCATCCCCGTGGTCGGCCTCGCTCGCCGCGCCAAGCCGCGGTCCGGTCGTCCGCCCGGCGGCCAAGCCCAAGGACGGGGAGGGGGCCACCCGCGCTCGCGCAGCGTGGTAGCGGCGGATGCGTCCTGATCGACGCGTTTCAATACGCCATTACCGGTTGCCGAACTGGTGTCATCGCCTACAATTGGGCGATATCCCACAAATCGTGGAACAAGTACATGCACGCCTTGCATGGCAACACTGTTGGCACGCGGAGCACTGCAGCACGCGATGCCGAAACACACCAGGCGCAAGAGCCGCACCAGGCGCAAGAGCCACAACAGGCGCAAGAGCCGCACCCGGCGCAAGAGCCACAACAGGCGCAAGAGCCACAACAGGCGCAAGAGCCACAACCGCAGGCGCAAGAGCCACCACCGGCGCAAGAGCCACTTCAGGCGCAAGGGCCATCACAGGCGCAACAACCGCCAACACTGGATCGGGACCAGCCGCCAACCGACCGAGAGCCGCAGCCGCAAGAGGCACCCCAGGCGCAAGAGCCCCCACAGCCGCAAGAGGCACCCCAGGCGCAAGAGCCCCCACAGCCGCAAGAGGCACCGCAGGCGCAAGAGCCACCGCAGCCGCAAGGGGCACCACCGACGCAGGCGCCACCGCAGGAGGCAAACCCGGCGCAACTGCCGTCGCAAATCGACATTAATCAGATCGCTGCAGCCATCGCAGCCGCCAATGCGGCGGCTACCCGCATTGACCGAGAGGCTAGCGCTGCCGCCGCCCGAGCTGAAAGGGAGGCGATGATTGCTGCCTTCGCCACCGCCAGTCGCACGGGCCATGAAGAGGCGATGACCGATTTCGCAACGGCCCTGCGCAATGCCCTCTCTAATGAGGGTGGAGCCACACGGGGCTCACTCTCAGCCAAGGTCACGCGCACGTACGACGCGGACATCCCAAAGCTCGCGTTGTCATCGTCGGTGCGCTGGACACCCTCGCAGCCGGGGAACACGGCGAGATGGGATGGCGACAGCTGGTCCAGCACGTGCGTGAACACGGCGTGCTCTTGGATGTGTGCCAGCCCAACATGGCTGACTTGACAGGCCAGCTGGAACAGATTGTTCAAGCAGCCAATGGTGTCGGCTCGCAGGCCACCGTGGTTGCGGACAGCTCGCAGGAAGCGGGCAGCGTCACACCCACGCGCAATGTCAGGCAGCGCACGGGCTGACTTCGCTCTCGGTCTTGCATGGGTGTCCAAGCAGCCGCATCCTGAACTTGGTTTCTCCTCTACTGGTCGATAACCGCTTGTGTCCGAAAGTAGCTACCACCTACTTCTCGAGAAGTGTCGCCTCCGCAGCTTCATAATTTCATGTTCCTGGACACGTGGCCGCGAGACACGTGGCTGGCGAGCGGGTCGGCCGCCTGCACCCGGGTGCACGAGTCGCTAAAACGGTTTCATGTGCCCGGGCCGCTTCGGCGGTTTCACGAGCGACCGGCGTGTACCAGTACGTAAATATGGCAAGCACTGCTGTGTAGCGGGGCTCATGCGTCCAAGCT